GAATCTTTTTCAACAAATACAAGGATTTTTTTGTCAAGTTACCTATATCTGAAAGATAGTGGCACTCATCAAGAAATTGTGGAAGATATCGAACGAAAATTGATTACGGGCATGAAATTGAACACAGCTCTGAACAGAATTATGCCTAAATACCGTAACACTTTTGACGGACTGTTCCAACAAGATGAGGATGAAGACAACGATGAAGACAGTGATGATTAAAGACTAGTAGTTTCAAAAAGATTACTCATTTTTAAAAATAATCTAGCAGTGTCTTATAGGAAAAAATAATATTTGAAATAGTCGCCCCTTATCACTCTTATACAGTAATTCCTTATGGCTATATTTTTTTTTACCATGGACGAATAAGTTCATACTAGTATTAAAAATATGTTACATTGGGTCCGCTGACGCTTGAACTTAGAAGAAGAGCATGCCCATATGCATGGAGATTTAAACTTGTGTGGGTTCTATATACGATGTGGCTTTAAAAAGACAGTGTATTGTAAACCGGTATATGTCAGGTACAAAAGACAATATTATTAGATTCAGGTCTAAAATTATAAAACGGGCAATTTATGATGACTGCATAATATTAGTGCACGTATATAAAGTTGTATGCATGATAATGATAAAAAAATCTCAAATAATCCTTGAAAATACAGTGTGAATTGTCTTCCTTTTATTTATCTTAAACCCAATTACTTATTATTTGCTTTATCTGTTGACTACCCTGGCCCCATACGTCATCCCTCATCAACAGTACAGCGCTCCACGTGCACAAAACTGACCAGCAATTAAGTCCAATGACATTATAATTATGTGATGGCCCCTGAATCCATTCATGGCTTGGATATGTTCACAATGCAGGTTGTTATTGAAGCGATTATAACGGTGACGATAATCCTTTTATCAGCTTCCCATGACTGAGTCGTCAACGTCAGATTCTTCATAATTCAATACTATGCTCAAATTGTTCCTCGGTAACGCTAAATCTCAAGCTCAGCATGGACGTACAGCGCGGTATATACATGTATCTAACGTTCTCTTAAATACCAATGCGGCCAGCGCCACAAACAACGATTCCATACGGGGAGATTTTTAAAAACACCGCGGACAATGCACATGACCGGACTTGTCCGGTTGTTTGTCATCATTCGATGAGTCAGCACTATGACGTAACTGGATTCCCCCATTCGAGTACAAAGGCTATTATGATAGAGTGGTAACAGGCACGAGTATGATATGCGGCTTGAGAAATCTCTTCAATTCAGATGTATATATGACGTTTTACTGTACTATATGTAAATTTATGTTATGTATTTTGTCCCTATGCATGTACGCTGTTCAACGGTGAGTGTTTGTTTACCACAACTTCGAATACATAAACTCATTTTTTTATCAGCGATAAAACTCAACCGGAAGAAACTCTAGCATGTCTGTACGCGTACAAACTGTCCGTCCGATTGCACAATAGACTGATGAGTCATTCACAACAAATCTTACGGGTTGTTCCATTCTGAACGATTTTCGCTGTGCTCGGTAATATGTTGCTAAAATTTAACTGAAAGATTAAATTCTTCAATTAGGCAATAAAATAGTTTCGTATATTTCATTAAACGAACAAATAATTTTATTATACGATTTCATAAATATTGTCTATTGTTATCGCTGGTTTTAAATTCGCTTACGCAAATAAACACCCCTCCTACACATATCGATCAGTCCAGCTGGCTCCTCAAACTTGCCATGGTTTATGCTAATGAGGCTAAATGCAGCGTTCTGATTGGCCGAGAGGGTGGTCGTGATGACGTAAAACCGACTATACAGACGGGCATCACTACTGGCGCCAATAAATTAATTTGATTTCCATTACAATTTCCAAATATTGACAGAGTTTTATTTTTCATACATTATCAGCCCAGAACATGAAATTCATCCACAGAGTAAATGTGTTGCCATATCTTAGCGCTTTTTAACACAATTAAAACAATACACATGTATTATTGGAAGACCAAAGAGTACAGAGTATATAGTGAGTGTGACTTTCATCTTTCCTTCGAAAAGTCAGCTTTCCTCTTTGGATGATGGTGTCGTAACATTAGGACTCCTATGAAATGTGGTTTCTTTTACCTTGGTCTCCAACCCTTACACGTGACCCGTCACTCTCCTGTAGTAGAGCCTAAAGTAAAAGGACACGCGGCGAGCTTCCAGAACCCTCGCGCATTTTGCATTATCCTCGTCCCCAGGGTGTCGAGCAGTACGCGCGCACTACTACCTGCTCTCTCACCCTGGTATTGGAGCATTTGCATGTTCAAGATTTTTGAACACGTATGCAATGAGGAATAGTCTGGTGCCTGCATGTACGTTGCATTAGCGTTTGTATGCGGTGTCTGGGGTAAAAACAGCATCGATTCGTCGCGCCGTGAGTTATGAAAACACGATTTTTTTTGAAGTGAAAAACAATCTGTAATGCACGTTGGAAATAAGAACACCAAGTACACAATATAAATCCATTACTAGCAAATTGCGGTATCAAATCAGGATACTGAAGAAAGTTTCCTATCCAGGGCTTACTACTGGAAACAAGGTTGGAAATAAAGTGAGCACTGGGGACGAGGTTCATTTTACACTACTTTGACCCTTGTTCTTGTAATAATTGTTGACAGAATGATTTCTCACCGTTATTACACCAAGAAACATTCAATTTTATTTACGACCTTTCCCATCCGGCATTTTCGATCCTAGGTCTCCTTGTTCGTTCACGTTTGTTTTCACATCGCGTACTTGCGTGAGAACGAACATGTAGAACGACGTGAA